TTTTCTTTTTAAATTTTATTTGTTGCTGTTGTTGAAAATGTACACATTAGGCCTCCTCCATTAACATGGACTCTCTGCCTCCTAAGTTTCTTCTCTAACCTTTTGAGTTGCTGTTGTCAATTCGATCACACATGGATAGTTCCTTAAAAGAGCTCAATGCTGAAGGCAGACACCCTTCACTAGTTCAGCTAAAGTGTTGTTTGGTTTGAAGAAGCCTTCCGTTGCCCTGCTTTTCTCCCGTGGCACAGCATCGGCAGCTGTCTTGGGACTTGGGTGTATTGCACTACACACAACAACAGAACAAAATCTCTCACTGCCCGAGATGAAGCAATGAGTGAAGAAGCATATTCTCTTCTTCCTTTTAAATATGTAAATAAAACACTTTGGTTGCCATTCTGGGGTTTTGCTGTTCACCACGGTTATTTCTAAGGATGGGTGGATAAGAATCGATAAAGCACCAGCAGGACTGTGTCAGTGCTTATCTGGCAGATGTGATGTGTTAGTCTGAATTCCAGTCTTCTTCCCTTTCAGCTTTCAGTGAAGGACCTGAATGAGACCATCCGTTACATGTACAAACACAAGAAGTACCAAAAGGTAATGTCCGTTCCTGGGGCGGCCTCGGAGGAGGAGGTTGAGGAAGGCAGTGGAAGCAGAGCACCCAGCTCCCGTGACTGGCCTCTAATGATGGAGGACTGTATTTTCTGGAAGGGGTGTCCTTTAGATTAGTCTTCAGCTCTGGTTTCCCAGACTCCCGTTTTTTCGTTCCAGGGTATCCTAATCAGGGTATCCTAATCACCAGAGGGGCTGGTTAAAGCACATATTGTTGGCCCTATCCCAAGTCGGACTCAGTAGGTTGGGGTGGGGCCTGAGACTTTGTCTTTCTGACAAGCGTCCAGGTGATGGCTGATGCTGCAGGGTGAGGACCACAGCATCAAGCATTTGGGATGGCTGGAGAGGAAAAGACCTCACCTGCTTTCTCCTCGGCCTCTCTGCCCTGCAGCAGCTGTGGAGGGCTGTGTGGCGCTCCTGCGGATGTGACTAGGTGGGCAGTGAGGGAAGGCGGCCCCCAACTGTTTTACTCTTTGAAACCGCTCCCTGCCCTGGACAGTGCCAGGGGGTTTGCCTTGGCCTCGTCTGTGACTCCAGTTTCTCGGCATTTTATTCTGTTAGCGGTGAATACGTTTGAGCCGTATGGTTTGTGTGACAGCACTTTCTGTAGCCTCTTCGAGTTCATCCGTGTCATTCTGCATTTCAGATGGTGTTCTACATTGAAGCCTGTGAGTCTGGGTCCATGATGAAACACCTGCCCAATGACATCAATGGTAGGTGGTGGGAGCAGGGTGCTCAGCTGTGCCCCTGTTGCCCACGCTCAGATGCTGCCAGTGTGGTACCCCGTGGTCTGTGTAGGCAGGGGCCTAGGACTACCTGATGCCTGGAAGCACTGGGCTTCCTCTGCTACTTGAGGATTGTTGTTGCTGTGTGCCGTTGAGTCGATCCCGACTCATAGCAACCCTATAGGGCAGAGTAGAATTGCCCCATGGGGTTTCCTAGGCTGTCATCTTTACGGGAGCAGATCGCCAGGTCTTTTTTCCCACAGAGTGGCTGGTGGGTTCAAACCACCAACCTTTTGGTTAACAGCCGAGCACTCCTCTGTGCCACCAGGGCTCCTTTACTTGAGAATTAGTAGTCAGGGAAATACAGACTCTGCATGTGAGCTTCATGGTGCTCTTCCACGTTCTCGGGAAACTACCGAAGTCCAAAATCTGGATATAGGTTCAAGGAGAAATCACACAGGCTTTGGACTCGCCTCGGTCCTCTGCCTTATGTCACTTGCTGGTTTTCTGATCTTGGGCAGGTTACTTAACATCTTTGACTCTCAGTTATCCCCATCTGTAAAATGGGGATAGAGATAGCGTGTGTCCATTGGGAAGGCTCCGTTTTAAATGGTAGAACATTGGTTCGAGTTTCCGGAGTCACTGCAGTCTTTATCAGCACTCTTACAAAATGTCTTGAAGTCCTGAGCATGAGTACTTGCTTCTTCCCACAAAAAAGGAATCTTTCACTGGCTTCTCTCTCTCCACGTTAACTTTAACCAGTTATACCACTTGCTGTTGAGTCAGCCTCCACTCGTGGCAGCCCCCCGTGTGTCAGAATAGAAGTGTGCTACATAGGGTTCTCAGTGGCTAGTTTTTTTTAGATGTAGATAACCAGGCCTTTTTTATGAGACACACCTGGGTAGACTTGAGCCTCCAACCTTCTGGTTAGCAGCTGAGCACATTGACTGTTCGCACAACCCAGGGACTCCTACATTAACTTCATTGATTCATTTATTTATATTGAACTTCAGATGAAGGTTTACAGAACAAACTAGCTTCTCATTGAACAGTTAGTACATATACTGTTTTATGGCGTTGGTTAACAGCCCCATGACATGTCAGTACTCTCCCTTCTCCACCTTGGGTTCCCTGTTACCAGCTGTCCTGTTGCCTCCTGCCTTCTAGTCCTTGCCCCTGGGCTTGTGTGCCCCTTTATTCTCATTTTGTTTTATGGGTCTGGCTAATCTTTGGATGAAGGGTGAACCTCCGGAGTGACTTCATTACTGGGCTGAAAGGGAGTTCAGGGGCCATACTCTTGGGGTTTCTCCCACCTCTGTCAGGCCAGTAAGTCTGGTCTTTTTTTGTGAGTTAGAATTTTGTTCTACCAGCTTTGTCCGGGGCCCTCTCTTGTGATCCCTGTCAGAGCAGTCGGTGGTGGTAGCCGGGCACCATCTAGTTGTGCTGGACTCAGTCGGGTGGAGGCCTTGGTAGCTGTGCTCCATTACTGCTTTGGACTAATGTTTCCCTTGTGTCTTTAGTTTTCTTCATTTTCCCTTGTTCCTGAAGGGGTGAGACCAGTGGTGTATCTTGGATGGCTGCTCTCAGGCTTTTAAGACCCCAGATGCTACTCACCTAAGTAGAATCCTGCATTAACTTTAGAAGAGTTATTGTCAAATGAGAAGGGCTGGATACGGTTACGTCTCCCTGCCGTCCCTGTGTGCTAAATATAGGTGGCTTCTTCCGATTTAACTTGATTTGACTCGAGGAGAAGTGTGATCCATAGCAGGGAGTGAAATGTAAAATGTGACCAGATGTTCTCCCCCCCTCCTAGTGTATGCTACCACTGCGGCCAACCCCAGGGAGTCGTCCTACGCCTGCTACTATGACGAAGAGAGGGGCACGTACCTGGGGGACTGGTACAGCGTCAACTGGCTGGAAGACTCGGACGTGGTGAGCCCTGGGAGTGGCGATGTGCCGCTGAGGCTTCGCCCTTCGGCTTGGAGTGTCGAAGGACGTTCATGTTTCCGTTTTTGCAGGAGGACTTGACAAAGGAGACCCTTCACAAGCAGTACCAGCTGGTCAAGTCCCGCACCAACACCAGCCACGTCATGCAGTACGGAAACAAAGTGAGTGCGGGCCTCACGTTCCTGCCCTCTGGTTGCTAGGTCCCAGGCAGATGTGCCCAGAATGTTTCTCTCTTGGTTAAGGGATGGGGGATCCAATGAGAAATGGCCTGGGCAGCGCCTACCTCTCACATCTTTAGCCACTGCAACCCGAGGACCCTGCCAGGGCTTTGGACTCAGACCTTGCTAGCTTTGAACTTACAAAGTGGTGAGACTTTGGGCATGGTTATCAGCCTCTCTGAGTCTATTTCCTCGTTGGTCAAACCCCTACATTACAAGGTCTCTGGAGTATTAGAGAGGATCATGCATTTAAAACAGGAAATCCGGGCCAGGTCTGACACACAGTAAGAGGTTACTCAGTCGATAGCTGCTCCTTCAAACAAGTTTCACGGCATTGCCTACGACCCCCACTTCTTGGCTTCTCCAGGGTCCTGCCTCACTGCAAACTGTAGTTTGCCAGCTTTACTCTTTGCCCCTATACGTTAGAGAAGGGACCCTGGTGGTTAAATAGGCCAGGTTCATCAGGGCTGGACAGAGGTCACAGCAGGTGGCTGCTGAAGGCTTGGGCCTTAAGTGAAGCCACTGGGACTAGCCTTTGGTATATGCAAAGAAGGTGACTTGTGCAGGGCCTCCCCAAGCAGCTTGCCGCCATCTGAGAGCATGCCAGCTGAGCCCTGTTCTTTTGGCGCATGCATTTACCTTCTAGAAGAACTTGTGAACCAGTGAACCAGCCATCTTTAGTCCTTCACCAGCAAAGTGTGGGCTGGAGCAGGGCAGCCACAGGACACAGGAAAGGCACCCAGGATGCCTTGACCTCGTCAGGCTTTTGGGTGGGAGTAGGATAGAGGTAGAAGCAGAGGAAGGCACGGGAAGGGTGACTTGGAGAAAGCAGGGCCAAAAGTGGCACTACCCTGGCCATCCAGGGGCTGTGCCAGGCTGCTGGGGGTTGGACTGGAGGGTAAGGGCATCAGTACTTCTTCGTTTCCCTTGGGCTTTCCATTCTCTCTACAATACCCCCAGCATTTCTCACCTTGGTTAAGGAGGTGTGGTGGATCTTTTCCCTTTATGTTTTCATATATGCTTGTGTATGGATTTTTGGAGTCCCTGAGTGGTGCAAAAGGGTTAACGTGCTCAACTGCTAACTGAAAGATTGGAGGTTCAAGTCCACCCAGAGGCACCTTGGAAGAAAGGCCTGGCAGTCTACTTCCGAAAAACCAGCCATTGAAAACCCTATGAAGTATGTCTCTACTCTCATGCACATGGGTTGCAGTGATTCGGAATTGACTTGATAGCAACCGGCTTTTGGTTTGGTGTGTATTTTATTTTTTGTTTCAGATCTGTGGTTAGGTTATTATTGCTTGGTTCAGAAAAAGGATGTTTTTGGAGGTTGGTACCAGGTCTGTCCGTCTGCCTGGGATTCATTCTGTGGTGACTCCTTGCAGCCTACCAGAGCCTGGCAGGGTGCTTGTTCGGTTAGGCCCCGATGCCAGGCACCAGCCCAGCCCCTCAGTTCCCTGAGCTCTGTCCTTCTCAGTGAACCTGACCTCAGATCTCACCTGGACAGAGACTTTGCACATTCCTGCTTTTGGTCACTGAGGACAGGCAGGTGAACATGGGTGAGCACAGACCAGGGTGGCCATTGGCTAACGCCCCTCTGGCGCAGGTTCTGCTTGACTGTGGACCAGCAGTTCATTTCATAGGTGAAGGAGCAGCCATTCTGCTGCAGAAGATGTCAGACATTCTAGAAGTTGACCAGTGGTAGATTTCAGATGCTCAGCGTGTCGCTTTTTCTTCTGCTGAAGGTGAACCGCATGTGTCGAACTGCGATTGTGGACCTTCGATGGTCCCCAGACCATCTGGAGTGATCTGTGAGCCTTCTCCGGAGAGGCTGGACCAGCGTACATGTGGCCCATCTCCTCCCACTCAACCCAGCTTTCTCTCTCTCTCCAGTCCATCTCTGCCATGAAGCTGATGCAGTTTCAGGGTATCAGACACAAAGTCAGCTCTCCCATCTCTCTGCCTCCTGTCAGACACCTTGACCTCACCCCTAGCTCTGAGGTACCCCTTGCGATCCTGAAAAGGAAGCTGATGGCCACCAATGACCTGCAGGAGTCCAGGGTTCTTCTCGAGAAGATCAGCGGGCACCTGGAGGTGAGTAGTGGTAAAAGTAGGAACCATTCCCAGCTTCCTTTTATCTGCCCTAGGTGGACTGCACCCGCCCTAGGTGGACTACACCCGCCCTAGGTGGACTGCACCTGCCCTAGGTGGATAGCACCTGTCCTAGGTGGACAGCATGCGTGAGCACGGTCTCTGCCTGCTGACCATTATTCTACATTGCTTGGAACCAGGTGCCAGGACTCCATGGTCACCCTCCTCCTGCCACGTGGGCCTACCTGGGGGAGGAAACTAGCCTTTGTGTCTATGTAAAATAGAAGTGATGAGCAGAACAGTGGTCACCTTCAGCCTTATTAGTAAACTGACCTTGACCTGTTCGGTAGCAGGGAGCAAAGAAATAGAGTCGCATCTTCCCTGTGTCCTGCCTAGAGGCCTGGCCTGTGGCTGGTTCCTGCATTCATACCGGCTGCTTAGAAGACATTTTGGTTTTTCTGCTTGTTGAGTTATTAGCTAATCATATAAAAAGAATCCAGTCCACAAAAAATTTCTGAATCGTAGAGCCTAAAACTCTTTCTAAAATACGTGAGAGCTGTCTTTTATGACTACTGAGTCTGTTTTCAGTAGCTCGTCAGTTTGGAGTTGGCAGAATTACTCTTCACATTATAGCTGTGCAGCCAGGAACCACAAGGAGTGCATTTACTGGAATGTTGCACAAAGTGCGGGACTGTCCCTTCCCACAAAGCAAGCTCTTTGTTAGCGCTTGTCCCCTGGTCAGCTCTTGTCCCCTTGTCTGCCAGCACAGCGGTGGATGTTCCTGTGACCCTGAGGCACCGCAGTGCACTGAAATACTGTTGAATTTTCTAGGAAAGATAAAATACAATGAAACCTGTGAGATCCAGGACTCGACAGGGCTGCCTTGTTTTTCTGGGTCTTGCAAGTTTCCCGTCTTTGACAGGGTGCTCTCTATTAGTGGAAAACATTTGAATCTTCCTTCTCTGACAGGTTTCTGCCTTACACAGGTTCTCACTTTAGCAGGTTTTACAGGACTGTGTGGTTTGTTTTAAATGCATATGTCTTAGTCATCTAGTGCTGCTGTAACAAATACCACAAGTGGATAGCTTCAACAAAGAGAAATTTATTCTCTCACAGTCTAGTAGGATACAAGCCCAAATTCAGGGTGTCAGCTCCAGGGCAAGGCTTTCTCTGTTGACTGTGGAGGAAGGTCCTTGTCATCAGTCTTCCCTTGGTCTGGGAGCATCTCAGCGCAGGAACTTCAGGTCCAAAGGACACGCTCTGCTCCCGGCACTGCTTTCTTGGTAGTATGAGGTCCCCAACTCTCTGCTTGCTTCCCTTCCCTTTTATCTCTTGTAAGATAAAAGGTGGTGCAAGCCACACCCCAGGAAAACTCTCTTTACATTGGATCAGGGATGTGACTTTAGTAAGGGTGGTGTTACAATCACACCCTAATCCTCTTTAACATAAAATTACAATCACAAAATGGAGGACAGCCACAGAATACTGGGAGTCATGGCCCTGCCAAATTGATACACACATTTTTTGGGGGGACATAATTCAATCCATGACAGCATATAGCTAATTATCCTGAAAATTAGTAGCCTGAGTGTGGGTGGCAAACTAGTATCCAGGACTTATTTTTAGCTGGTGTCAAACAGACATAGCACAGACGTTCTCAAGCTTTTGGTTTCAGATCTCTTTACGCTCTTCAAATTACTGGTCCCAAAGAGCTTTTGTTTATGTGAGTTCTGTCTGTTGATATTTACTGCATTAGAAATTGAAACCAAGATTTAAAAATATTTACTAACATGCTTAGAAACAGCAATAAACCCATTTGTATTAATTTTTTATGAAAAATAACCATTTTCCAATACAAAAACAATCTTGGTGAGAGGAGTGACATTGCCATACATTTTTGCAAATTTCCTTTATGCCCAGCTCAGTAGAAGACAGCTGGATTCTCGTATCTGCTTCTGAATTCTGTCTGCTGCAGTCATGTTGATTTGGTTGAAGTAGATGAAGAAAATCTAGCCTCACACAGATGTATAGTCCGGAAAGGGGGCACTTTGTGCGTCCCCCTTTAAGAGGCCTTGGGGATCCTGTAGGTCCTCAGGCCACACTTTGAGAATGGCTGGTCTAACACCCACTAGGCAGTGAGTCTCTATGGAATTCAGAGGTAAGTGAAAAACCCTGACTGGGGAGGCTTGTAAAATATGGTTAATGTGGAAGCTGCTTCCTCCTCATGATGCTGTTTTTCAGCACCTGGGAGGAAACGGTTTCCTTTTTGCCCCCTTCATCTAACCATTTGATGATTTCCTGAATGGGAAGAGATGCCTGTGAACACACAGCGCCGGTTATCGGACATCAGTCTGCTTTACGGCACAAGTTCTGTAACCCCCTTTGCTCGGAGTTGGACAGGCCTGCTCTTAGAGTACTTAAACTGAAATATTTCAATAATAACAGAAGATACCGAAAAGGCAAGGTCTTCCTAAAGATTTCTAGCTGTTATAGAAGCCTCTCTTGCCTTCCTCAGAGCACATATATTTTTTAATTGTTGGCATTTTTTTAAATTATGAAAATATAGATAGCACCACATTTGCCAGATCAACATTTTTCACATACACAATTCAGTGAGATCAGTGACATCTGTCATATGTGCGACCGTCATTTTCAATCTCCATAAACAAAAACTCAGTATTGCCACCTGTTGCACGTGTTGGATGGTGCGTGAAGAGAAGCCTTTAAATGTGCTTCTGACGTGAGGGCTCCAAGAGGGACTGCATTATTATAAGATACGCCTCACAAAAGCTGTGTGTCTTCACAGGCCAGACACGTCATGGAGAAGTCCATGCAAAAGATCGTCTCCTTGCTGGTGATGTCCAACGCTGAGGCAGAGCAATTCCTCTCCCAGAGAGTGGAGCTCACGAAGTATGCCTGCTACCAGGAGGCCGCCATGCACTTCCGCACACACTGCTTCAACTGGCACTCCTCCATGGTAAGGCCAGACCTGCCCGCTGGCTCCCCACTTCGCCTTCCGCCCGCCCACGTGGGCCTTTCCTGGCATCCTGAATCCAAAAGCTGTATTAGTAGTATCCTATGAGAATCACATCAGATGCATTACTGCCTTAGTTACCTAATGCTGCTATAACAGAAATACCACATGTGGGAGGCTTTAACAAACAAATGTATTTTCTCACAGTTCAGTAGGCTGGAAGTCCGAATTCAGGGCGTCAGCTCTAGGGGAAGGCTTTCTGTCTGTTGGCTCTGGGGGAAGGCCCTTGTCTCTTTCAGCTTCTGTTCCTTAGTTCCTCGGTGATTTTCATGTGGCGGGGTATCTGTCTTCCCTCATCTGTGCGTCCTTGTTTCTGTGCCTACTCTGCTTTTTCTGTATCTCAGAAGTGATCGGCTTCAGACACACCCTATACTGATTCAGGCTCATTAACATAAAGAAAATCCTATTCCCAAATGGGACTACATCCACAAGTATAGGGATTAGGATTCCAACACATATTTTGGGGACGAAATTCAGTCCGTAACAGTTACCTTGTAGAAGGCTGAAGCTCGACTCA